GAATAACTACTACTCAGTAACATATAGGTCTATATACTACAAAAGACTGTCTATAAAAGTTTAGATATGTTTATCCCAATACATGTTGCCATAATTGTGGCTCCCAGCTAATGAGTATGAGTGTCATATTCATCGGATGTGGAATCTGTGTCATCTCCCCTCTCTTCAAACAATGACTGATCAGGTCCAACGAGTACTGCAAGTACAAAGGAAATAAAAAAAAAATAGAAAGGCAAGAGGGTGAGCAACAGTTCATACATCATTTTAAAATCAACATCATAAACATTCACAAGTCAATCAAATTCCAAATGATTGATGTTAATGATGCATGATCCTAATATATTTTCTAAAATATTTATGCATGCGAGCCCGAATCATTTCTCAAATTAGTACTGGGGTAGCCAGGAGTTGACACTACTAGGCATGGAAAATCCACCAACGGGATTGTTGAGACCCATGCTCAAATATAAACCCAGTAGCTCACTGACCATTGATATACAGTAAGAACACAGTCAGGTACAGAAGAGTTTGTACAGTGGGATCCCCGACAACAGGTAGCGAGTCTGGGTCTTTTGGGGCCTCCAACCACTACCCTTCCTATCCTCAAGTCCTTCCTCAGGGCCTCCCTATCGTATTCTCAGAGTCCATAATCTCTGATTCCCCAGATTTCACAAATCACCATTTTCAGATGAGTAATGTATGAGTCCCTAAGTGGTTTTTCTTAGAAATTCACATTTTTCCAAAAGTTTGACAGAGTTTCCCCTGTAATACGGACTTCCCAAAAATTTCCAATCACCTGTTACAAACAGAAAACTTCTAATACAGTTCAAAAAGGGTTCACAACCCATCATCCAATTCTTTCAATTTAATTTTCAATGAATTTTCTCATGAAAAACCACCATGCATATAAATGCTCACTCAAAGACCATACATATCATAATAGAGTACCAAACATGTATTTCACACCATCATACACGTAAGTAATTACGTAAGCAATTCATGATCACTTTCACAACCAAGCATATAATGAAATCAAAATTATCAATCATAACAAATTTAGACAAATTCAACAAATAAGGTCAAAAAAGTTTATGATGTAATCCTTACTATATAGCCCACCCCTTACCTGATACGTCCACACTTATTCCTTTCAAAGCTTGATGTTGTGTTTCAGCAAAATCTATATAAGTAATAAAATACTAGTTAGAATCTTATATTTCTATGGTTCTATCTCATGAGAATTTAAATTCACGTTGTGTTGCTAATCCATTTCTAATAATTTTTTAAACTCACAGCTTACAATTAACTTAGAAGATTATCCTATTTTGTATACACTTAGAGTAGGAAAAATCCTAATAGCAAACATGAACAAGGTTTAATATTTCTAAATTTTCTAGAGTTATATAAGCTGTTTTGGCATGAGATTTGAGCCAAAATTTCAATAACTTAATTACCTACAATATTGATGAAGGAAATAAATTCAAATACCCTATAGAATAGATTCAGTTTTCAGTGGTTCTTTCCAACTGGGCTCAATTACAATAACACTCTGAACATGCCTTGGTAATTTGACTATAACTCATGCTACACATAAGCTATTGACATGAAATAAATTTCTAAATTTCGGGGATATACTTTCCTACAACTTTTATGAAGGAATCAAGTCCTAATTTCACACGTATCAATCTCAGTAATTCAAAAACCTAGGCTGTTGAAACAGGGCTACCTCTTAACGTCATAACTAGAATACTTGACAGTAAAATGAGCATAACTTGAGCTACAAATATTCGTTTAATGTGAAATCAGTTTCTAAATTTCGAAAACTTAAAGAGCTACAAATTAAATTTCATGAAGATACCAATTCCTAATTCTATTCACACAATTCCCAAAAATTCAATGAATAGTACCTACGAATTAGGGCTCTTAAAGTTTTTTAGCTTAATCACTTCTAATCCTCAATTTTAAACATTATTCTAGTATCCTAGGTGTAAAACCTATAATAACACTCTTCTTATTCCCATTCAAGCTCATTCAAGTGAGGATAAAAATAGAAAATGCATCGTTTTGAAAAATAAAACGGTAGAAATGTAGAGGAGATTGAGATAAACTAATTTATCTCTTGGAGTTCCTCAAGAAAACCAAGATTTCTCCCTCAAAATCAAGGAAAGTTTTGAGAAAAAGAGAGAAATGAGGAACCTACGAGAAAAACTCAGAACTGCAAGTAAGAGAGAGATTTCAAACCACAATCCGCTCAGTACATTACATTACAGCCAGGATTTGAACCCACATCCCCAAAGACTCCAACATCACTCCAAACCATATCAACCATCATATGTTTCTTGTCAATTTATACACATAATAAACTTTTAATGTATTCACACTCAATGCATACAAGAAAACAATAATTTCTAAATGTGACAATTAAAATTGTTAAGTCCATACTCTTTCAATTTCAATCCTAAATCATATAATTACTATCGAGCGTCCAGTTGTCCGCTGAAACGGATCAATTTAAGTATTTTCTAAAAATTTCAGAAAATCATAAATAATCTAATAAATATAAAACTCTACAGTTATTTTACCCAATTCCTAATAATTTAATTATTAAAATTTTGACAAAGATTTTGTCAAAATTTAACAAACCGAAGACATTGAGAATCAGGATGTTACAATTTCCACTTATTAGGACAAAAGATGACAACCTATCAAAGAATACAATGGATATGAATCAACTAATTATAGGAGTCTTGTGGAAAAATATTATATTTATAAATACCTACATTTTTAAAACTAAAACTAAACCAACTACTATGTTCTTCACTATGTTCTTCCCAATTTCAGCATCAACTATGACTTTCTGATAAACACTAGCCTCAATCGTAGTCGTAGGGTCCTATACAAAATAATCATACACAATTGAATGTTGGGTTCCTTTGTATCATGTATAACACAACTCCCTCTTTCTTTTGCTAGTTTAGTTCCAATCGATGAAGGAAACTCGGTAGCACGCATATTCGTTTTCCTATTTCACTGGGATCGGTCCTAAGGCACGTGCTTCAATATTGTCTTGATTGTCGGTCACACTTCTGTATTTTGAATCTTTAGAGATACTCTTAGAGTTCTGTCCTAATTGGAGGTTTGTTGAGTCAAGTCAAGAAGAAGAAAAAGAAAATATCACAAAGGATTAAGAACATACATATAAACCTAATATTTGACATAAATAAACATTACATTACCTTAATTGTAGTTGTCATGTCTCCTAGGCCATTAGGCTTACAAGATTTAACAATGTCTGTGACCAATAAAGCTCTACCAACACGCTTAATAGTGTTTAAAGTTGTTCTGTGTACGTTATCATATTCATGTAACAATCTTATAAATAAATAAAGTCAGTAAATGACTTAAAATGAATACTTAAAATGAAAGAATTATTTTGTAATAGGTCACCCATTGCCAATGTGACCAACATTGAGTAATCTAAATGTGATTCTAAGTCGCACATTGAGTGAGTAAGAATGAGGAAGTTGACCAACATTTCGGTGTGAGACCTATATATTGTTTATATCCTCAATCATCAAAACTAAACTTACTCCTCAAAGAAAAAAATGAAGCCTTAATCCTTAATCGAACAAAACCTAACCTTTAGTCGAAAACACATAACCATAACCCTCAATTGAAAAACAGAGAGACTCACCACTGTAGAGATTGACCACCACTGAGGAACCTATGCAAGTTGCAACAAGGAAAAACATTGATTGTGCGATTGAAAGGAACCAATTGAAGCAACAACGCTAATAAAAACACTCGTTGTGCGATTCACAATGATAATCAGTGAGACGGGTAACGAAAGTGAAAGAGATAGTGAGTGAGGAGGCACAAAAGACTGAACGAGGAAGAAGGTGAGTAGGGAAGGAGAAAATAGGAAATTGAAATCTGTATAGAAGGCTAAGGTTGAAGGAGATGACGAAAATGAATAGAAATGACGAGTAAGGGAGGAGAGAAATTGAGAGTGAGAGAAAGGTACCTAGAAGGAGATTAAGGTGGAAAGAAAACGAACAGAAATGACGAGTGAGGGAGGAGAGAAATTGAGAGTGAGAGGAAGACATGGAGAAGAAGATTAAGGTTAAAGAAGATGACGAAAATGGACAAAAATGATGAGTGAGGAAAGAGAGAAATTGAGAGTGAGAGGAAGATATATAGAAGGAAATGTGAAAAAAAAGGAATAGAGATGGTGAGTGAGAAAGAAGAGAAACTAAGAGTGAGAGAATGGTACGTAAAAAGAAATAAGAAAAATATTTTTTTTTTTAATTAAGTTGTGAAAGGAATGTTTATAATAGGATTGTCAAAATATTTATGAAGATGAGAAATGATATTTTGATAATTCTAAATATAAACAATCCTCAAAATAATTCATTTTTATTAATATAATAATTATAAAATGATTTAATAAAAATGAAAATAAATTAAAATTATTATTATTATATTAAAATTGGGTTATTTTTGAAATAAAAAAGATTTGTTAATAATCCATATTTACAAAGATCTTATTGATAATTTTAAAATATTATTTTTTGATTAATAAAAAAAATAGATAAATAATAATATAAAAATATAAAAGTGAGTTATTGAAGGGATGTTTTTGTAGTTTTTTTTATTGATAAAATATCAACACTCTTTTTAAACCTCTCAAAATATCAATTTTTGATACAATAATATTAGATAGTCAGCCAAACTAAATTACACATCTTCATGAACAGAGTCAAGCCATCATATATTAGTAGTACGATGCAAACGTTGATTTACGTTTACACACACACAAAAAAAAACGATACAGAAAGCTTACACTGCAAACAGATCTCACTATTTATGCTAGTTTATGTTTGGAATCAAGCGTGAAAGATAAAAAAAAAAACGTTTGAACGTGGTTTCTACTTTCGAACGTCTTTCCAAACACACTCTTAAGATATTCACGACCCTGTGAACCGTGATGAACGGACAGATCAGTTTCCGGACTTGGCGCGAGGCTTCCCGGTAACGCTATCAGCGAGGCGATTGATGAGGTAAAGGGCGTTGCTGGTGAGCATGGAGACGTCGGCGACTCTTCGCTTGAGATCCAACTTGATTTTCCCGGCGGTGTTGAAGCCGGAAATGCATGTGTCACCGTTGGTGATGGCGGCGCTGGTCCAGGTCTGGGCGTTGCTCATCTGCCACTGGAAGGCTCCGTCGCGGAGGTGCTGCAACTCGTTCAGCGTCTTGCTCAACTCACTCACCGAATCGGCTATCTGCTGCACGCAGTCACTCACCGCGACTTGTTGCCTCGGATCGAAACCCTGCGACGAGGCCTTCAGTGTCCTGAGGTAGGCGGAGAGGGCGCGCGTGCGGGCCAGGCTAGCCTTGACGGCGGCCTGGGCCAGGTCGAGAGGCTTGGCCGCGGGGTTCGAGAAGTTGGAGAGCGTTTGGACGCAGAGAGCGGGGTACCTGGCCTGCGCGCACGATGAACGAAGTGGATCTGGCGATGGCCTTGCTCCGGCGGCGCGTGGTGGAGACAAAAATAGTAGGACGAGCATGAAGGCCAGAGTGGAAATTGGTTGCGTTTGCATGTTTGTTATATATGGAAAAGAAACAAAAAGGGAAGAAGGAAGAGAAAGACAGTGTTACTCTGAAAGTGGTTCACTGTAGAAGAAGATGAGTGGCATTATGCAGGGTAAACAAAGGTGGTATTTATAGGCAAACTCGAGTGCTCCCCAAGTCATGCTATGTATTCTAACAATTTCAACCATGCTATTTTAGTTAGGCTTTACGTAGAATTTTAGGCATTATACTGTTGAAATTTTTGCATATATTATTAATTAAAAATAATATATAAATAATATTTTACAATGATTAATAGTATAAAAACATAATACATATATATTAGCGACACCGTTATGATAAATCACGTAATATTTTTTTTTATATTGATGAATTAGAAGCTCATTTATCTCTTATATATATAAATTTATTATTTAAATAATGTAAAAAGTATTTTTTAATAACATATAATAAATAGTTTAAATTCTTACATATAAAATATATTATTTATATGACATAGTCTCGTCAAGAGATTTCTTTAGAAGGAATTACTCTTAACCTTTTACTACCTGTCTCGTATTGAAATATAGTATTATAATAATTTATGTTATAATTATTTTTCATCACACTACTAAAAAATTTATATATATAATTGAATTGTGAAAAAATGATATTTGTTATATAAATATCATTTCTTAGACATTTTTACAATCAATATTGCTATCTCAAGATGCCACAAATTAACTATTTTGAAAACGAATATGTAAATAATTTTATATATGTTTTACTAATTAAATTAGTCGTGCAGTATTCTATATATTATTGTAAATGTTTTTACACTGTTAAACAAGAATCTTAAAATACAACATTTGAATTATCCTTACTAAATAATGTTATTGTAAATCATTTTTACACTGTTTTTTTTTTTAATTCTTCATATGCATCAATAATCTATATTTAATAAAATAATTTGTTAGTACATTATATAACATCATTGATACAAACACACAATTTATATATTAGAAAAATAACTAGACTAACAGAGAATAATATCCAATAAGTAGTGTGAAGAAAATCACTTTTAATAAGAATTTTCTTCATACATAACAAGGAAACATAGTAAATTATTACTTAATTGTCTAATAACCGACATTAATCGTATTCGGTTTCGTGTATAATTATCTTTCTGACAGAAAAATGTAATTTTTTAACTGCAAAATGTAATTTTTTAACTGCAAAATGTAATTATCTTCATCTCTTTTTTAGTTACTTTATCTTTTGTATACTCCCCAAACACAAAGGAAATATATTAAGTTTTCAATGTTTTATTTTATTGTAAAGAAAACGTATATATATAAGTCTTGCATTCATTTTTATTTGAACAATTGGGACATATGCCGTCAATTTGTTAACTTAGGTCGGTGCCGTTTTATCGTGAACTTTAAGGTTACAAAGAAATTTGTTATTTGCTCACTAATATTTTTTGCATCTTATGAGTGATATGCCACCAAACAATGCCTAGGTTTATGAAAGTTATAAGTTTCCCTTTATTTTTTATAAATTCATCTCAAGTTTAACCTAAGATCACATTCAAATAATAATGTTTAATATATAAGAGTCAAAGTAAGATAAACAAAACATATATATCATATCAAATGAGTTATCCTCTGTATGATAGAGATATGAAAACAAAATGTTTGATGCTAATAATACATTAAATTCATTTAATTCTCTCTCTCTATATATATATATTTATTTATTTGTTTTTACTGGTTTTAAAAAGCTAATTCACATAATATTTAATTATTCAATATCGCACAAAAAATTATAAGTATTTTTATACTGTATCAAACTAGCAAAAAATGTTTAGAAGACACAACATGTATTTTCTAAAAGAGTCAAAGTTTCGTCTTGATTAAAAAAAATAACATGTTGAGACCGTCGCCATACATGCGAATAACATTATTTAATCATAAAGATTGGTGAAATAAAGTACTGCTTCCTCGGACTAGGCATTTTTTAGAACAAACAAAACTTATAGAAAGTGTCACGTGGGATCTTCATTATTTGAAAATTATTTTAAATCAATGTCCATAATTTTAATAAAATCCACAGAAAATAATTGGAAATGTTCTTATCAAATATTTTTATTTTTAAATTTAAAATAAACATGTTATATTTTAAAGGTATTAAACTTATACAGATATGATGTTTATAATTTATAGAAATTTAAGAGGATTCATAAAAATATTGGAAACGCATAAAATTATTCGTTGTATTTGATTTACTAAAAACTCTTAAAAATGTATTGGGTTTAAAAATAACTCTTGGAAAAAAAAGTATTCGGGTTAATAAAAAAAAATTTCATTTGCTTGCTTTCAGTGACATTTTTTTGTTGCGTAACAAAAGAAAAGGAGGTCAACGATTTATGAGTCTGACGAAATAAATGCATTGTGCCAGCTAAAAGACAGTCCACGGAACAAGTGGGAGAAGGTCAACGGAGATTTACACCTTTTTTCAATGTTTACTATTTCCTTTTTTATTAAGATTAATTTTATATTATTTCCTTAAATTCTTTAAATATATAAAAATTTTGTTAGAACATCTATTCGAATGTTAAACAAGACATTCAAGTTTTTATTTCACTTTTATATCACGGGACTTTTAAATAACTTATATTAATTTTTTAAAACTTTTACAAGTTTTTGTTTCGGTGGATAATTTTTATAAATATTCATATTTTTATTTACATTTTATTCTATAATTTAAAAATTAATTAATTAACATAATTTAATATAATATTTTAACTTTAAATAATAATAAAGTTATAGAAGCTTTTAATTTTTTATAAATATCGTTTTTTTAAAATAAATTATACAACTAAATTCTTTTTAGAAAGTTATAAGATCAAATTAAAATTATATATCATAATCATAGTATTGTTGTTATTTATAAATAAAATATAAACATAAATATTTGTATGGTTTTGTTTAAAATTGAAGTCAACAAATTTTGAAATTTATTTTAATAAATGTGATTTGAAAAAATGGTTATTGAGCTAGTTGGGAATATTTAAGAAAATATGTTCTGATATAGTTTTTTTTTTCTTAATTTCTTGTTGGGATACACGTAATTTGTAGTCGCCATGGAAATGCTCTTGTATGCACCGTGGAAATAAATCATAAACACTCTCTCTTCTATGTGTTTACTTGAGAAAATCATTGGTGGGAAGTTCATCGAATAATATAGAGTGTTTATTTGAATGTGTAATATATTATTTTAATAAATATAAAACTCAAATATTTAAAATTATTTGAGTCTTGGATGGTCAATAAAGTAAAAAAGGTGACGACCGATAGTGTTAACTTTAAATAAATTTTAATTACATAAATAATAAGATCCTTGACATCTTTTAGGTAAAATCATAATAATTTTTCTAATAACTATATAAAATAGAAAATATGAATAAGATCTTAAAATTAACTATCCTTGCATATACTTAAATATATATATATATATATATATATATATATATATATATATATTCTTGAGTATTTTTAATGTAAAATAAAATTTTACTCCCTTAATTTTATATGTTTTTTTATTCTTTAATTAATGTCATATATATAATATACTTGATGAAATATAATGGTATACGTTTATGTAAAAAAAAAAAAATCATGTTAAATTGTTATTTGTTGGATCTCTTATGTTAATCATATCGTAACTATATATATATATATATATATATATATATATATATATATATATATATATATATATATATATTGTTAAATACTTCGTACACTTTGCATATGAATGCATTAAAAAAATGAATGGTACTTCGTCAAATTAAGACATTTTTTTAAGATGACAAGATAACTTTCAAAAGGCGTGGAAGTGACTCTATCTTATTCTCGTATATATCTAGTTGAAGTCCTTAAAATATCCACTAGTATTGCCACACTCACCAAAATCACAATTAATTTAATTATGATGGACTTAATATAACGAAGATTTAGAAGACATGAGTTGAATAAATGGAGATGGTCCCGTACTAGAGTTTCTATAATTAGGTGATCATGCTACCTATAATTAATTAATTAGAACTATAAAGTATAGTTTAATTTGATATAATTATACGAGTTAAGTAAAAAATTGCATGACCTAATTTAAAATGGTTCATAGGTATAATCTAACATGCTTGAATTAATTAAAAGTATTTTTTTTAATAATTAATCTACAAAACTAAATAATATATATATATATATATTAAATTTATTAATGAAAATATTTTTTATTATACAATAATTTGGCATGTAAAAACTCATTTTAATAAAAATTAGAGATTTGTTATTATTTACGATTATTAAGTCATTACAAAATAAATGATAAAATTAAAAGTAAATCATATTTTTTAAATTAATTAATATATATATATATATATATATATATATATATTAATAAAATAATATAACTTAATTTTTTAATTAACAAATAATAATTTTTTATAAATATAAGTCTACGGGTCCTAAGTTCATTTAGAAGGTAGGTTGATTAGGTGAAAACTGATTTAATTTAATTTAACTTATAATTGATTTTTTTGCACATAAATTATTTTTTAGATTGGTGACGGGGTCATAGGTATTCTAACACCCTTGTATTTAATTTTGTAAGAGAGTTGGGCCTAGGAATTGGAGAGTTGGGCCCATGATTGATTTGTTGAGTGAAACATAAACATGAAAGGAAAGAAAGTTGTGGTGAGGAAGAGGAGGTGATCTCGTTCAATGTTTCGAGCCACTCATTCCTTTTGTGGTGCCACGTGACATTGCATCACTGCTTAATCCAAATATATAGAGTGAACATATCTGCGTTCTCCTTTTTCTTAAACATTTGCTTTCATGGACGGTGTGAGAGGGGCGGCCACCATAACCACCACCTCCCAATCACACAACTATTTTTATTTATCTACCTACTAACTATTCTATTTTCTTAAATAATATATACATACTTTCATTTTAGATTAACTGAAATATAATTTTAGATTAACTTTATTTTCAAAGTTTAAGCTTATGGGTTATCGATCTTATCAGTTTAAAATAATAATATGGTAAAAAGATGAAGATAAATAATTTAACTATATAATTTTGTTGCTTAATACGCATTGATTATCTTTTAAAATGTAAATAAATATTTATTATTATATCACTTCTTTATAAATATATCCTCTCTATATATATATTCCATATTAAAAATGATATAACAGTAGGTAATATAATGAATTTATAAAGATGGACCCACTATCAGATCACCTATACAAAATGGAATAATACATTAAAATGGTCTACTTTATTTTTAAATGTACTAAAACAGGTCAAATTTTAGAAATAAGTAAATTATATTGGTAAGTACGATTTGGGTTTATTTTATTTTAATAAAAAAATTGAATTCGTACTCAAAAATATGATTTTAGTAATCAATTTTTTAAATATATAGTAAAATGGCATTTGAAAATACTATTTCAACATTACTATTCATCTCACATGCTTTTTAAAAGTAAAATAACTTATCAAGTATGGATAAATACGTGTATAATTATAACGTATTATAATAAATTGTATGTAAGTTAATTGATTTGATTTTTTTTTTTTGAATTGTTTTGCTTTAAATAAAGGAAAAATACAATTTGTAAGTAATTAATTACTGAAATTGTAGTTGTAATTTAAGTTAAAATTAAATCCTATTTACAAATAGGACTTAAATTGGATTTTAGGGACAAATAGTAAAAAAGTGAATCAGGCTTGCAAGTATTTACTTCAATAATTTTTAAAAATTTATTTATTCAGTATATATACATCTATATAAATATTTAGTTCAACATTGTGAATAGTCAGAGTGAAAGATGTGGATTTGTTTAAGTGTGTAAATACTTAAAGATAAAAAATAAAAAATAAAAAAAAATCTGAATGCGTTGAGTGTAATTACTGCATTCATTGGTATATTCCAAAATGATTGAGAATATTACCAAATTTGCTATGGAATTCTATTACCATTCAGAACCACTTTTGTACATTGGTTAATTAAATGTATTATTTGCTAGTAGCTGAGAATTTACGCTTTATTTTATTTTTATCTATTTTTCTTTCTTAACTTATTTCTTCCTTATATTTCATCTCTTTATTTTGGATAAATGATTATTTTGGTATTGAAAATGTAAATCCATATAAATTTAATCTCTACAAAAATAAAAAGATGTATGAAGTACATCAGTCATTCAATTTTATAGATCATTAATTTAACATTAAATAATATTTTTTAAAATCAATTTAATATTAAATTATAAAATAGTATGAAACACTTGTGTGTATTTAACATTTGTTTATTTTTATTTTTTTAATACCAAATTATCATTAATTCATATTTAATTAGTATTTATCCATTTATTTCATTGAACGTAACATATCATGATTCTGTCTTCTTTATGTTCAAAGCTTTCAGTTGACAGTGCAATTGAATAGTGTGGCCACCAAAACATGACAATGGTCCATAACTAAAAGACACTCTTTCTTGTTAAATATGCAAGAAAACATATATAAATATGATGTAAACAAAGGATTCAGGAAGAAACGATCGGAAACTAAACTTGCATTTCAAATCCCGATGGCATAATTTTTCAAACCACTAAACTACTACTATCATGTATACATATTCTGAATGATGATAATTCAACAACAACACGCATGCATCTAATCTAATATTCTATGCAATGATTTACCATACAAGAACACAGCTTTTGCTGTCTTCTCAGCTACCAAACCTGAAGCCACCATCCCATAACCTCACAACGCTGCCGTTAAGTGCCGCTAAATCCTGACTCGTGTACCATCCCTTCTCGCTCTCTCCCACTCTCATCCTCAACAACCTTTCCCACCTCTCCCACCATTCTCCTTCTCCGTCAATCTCCTCCCACTCTTCCCTTACCGTCTCCTTCCTCTCGCATTCCTTATCACTCTCCAAGTACAGCCTAAACTTCCCCTTCCTCACTTCGTCAAGGTTCAAGTCAGGCCCACTACCAGCCACAGTTGGGCGTAGAACACACGCCGGCCCAGTGGTAGCGGCAGCAGCATCCGACTCATCTAGAATCGGGTCATCGGGTGGTGGGAGAAATTCGGACTTGGCTGTTCGGATCCTCCAGAATGTCACCGCCAGCCAGGTCCAGAAATTGTTGAGGACAGTGAGGAAACCGAAGGTGAGGTAGTTGAAGGCTTGGGCCTCCAGAGGAGAAACCAAGTTGCTCATGGTGTGCGCGTGTGTTTGTGGTTGAATTGAACACCAAAGAGAAATGTGGTGAAGATTGATTATTATATGCGGGGGAGAGAGGAATGGTTGGAGAATGGGATCTTACATAAGATGCTCCGAATCGACACCTAAGATGCTTCTTCAATTATGGTACAGTAAATCCCATCACGCATCCCTAAAATATCAAACTAATGGCAATAAAATAATGACATGTTGGCTTTCACACTGACGTATGCAAGGTTCTTCTCAATTTGCTTCACTCCTTTTATGTTTTGTGAGCGAACATTTCATCCATCTCTCTTCACAACAACAAATTCATAATTCATTCATAATATTAAATTTATATAATAATTGCAACCATTAATCATTAATCATTTTTATTATAATGCTTTCCAAAAAAAACATATTTAAAGATAAATGTGTAAAGAGAATAATAATAATAATAATTGTAAAATTTTAATTGTTTAAACTTAATCTCTTAAAATTTTCCATTTTAATCAAAGAAAAGAAAATAGCATTTATTATTTATGGATTAAAAATTTAAAAGTATTCTATTAGTAAATAATCAATACGAGAAACAAATTAAAAAATTCTAAAAAAAAAAACAAAATGAGACCTTATACTTAAGGACTAATTAAGTATTTCCACAAAGACATAAAATACGTTTTTAATTACCTTAATTAATTTTTCATTAACTGTATGATTTTTGGTACTTTATATTTTTATAACAATATTTCATCATTAAATTAATAGGCGAGTTTAATATAAAATGAAATTTACATTATACATATTGGAGAGGTCAAATTCAGATCTAATTATTAATTATAAATATATTATATAATTATCATTAATAATAAATTATTATTAATGATATCATTAAAAATAAATTATTATTAATGATATCATTAAGAATAATTTATACACATGTAGTTATACAAAATATATTAATACTTCTACATAAATACCAATTTAAATTATAAATATTAAAATATACTTATAAAAAATATATTAATGAAATAATAATCTTGTTAATGAAAAATTAATAAATTATCATTATTAAATTTGTATAGGTATTAATATAATAATAAAGTAATATTATTTATATTAATATAAAATAATTTATTATTATTCTTATTACACAGGTCACTCAATTGAAAAAATGATTACACGTAACTTAAAAAAAAAAATGTACAGAAATATTTTAAGAATGAATGATAGAGTGATGTTTACTTAATAATTGTGTTTCTTTATACAAGATAAGAATATCAAAAGATAATAACTAATATAAAATATTATATAAAAAATTAATTAAATAAATAAAATGATTTTAATATACCTGATAATTACAATTATTAATTAATTTATACATATACATTAATATCATTTCATAAATATTATATATATATATATATATATATATATATATATATATAATAACATTATTATTATTCTATGCTTTTAGAATATCCATAATCTTCTGCTAGCCATATGGGAAGTGATCTAGTGGGAGTAGAAAAAAAAATGAAGGGCAGTGCTTAAGTATGGCCCACAAAGTAAAGCTCAAAACATGTGGACCACACAACTACTAACAGCCCAACTAACTGAATGGGCTGAAATGGTGATGGCTTTAGCACCACCTTTTTTTTCTCTTCCCATCATTGTGCCTCTTTTGTTTTTTTTTCAGACTTCTTCTCATCTCTTTGTGAATGTCTAACACGAAAAGCTAAGGACTCTCTTATTGGGCCAAAAGTTAAAAATTATTCATATATTCATGACGCTATAAAGTGAATATTTGTGTAAAACAAAGAATAAAAAATTAAAGAAAATAACAAGTCCCCGTCCACCAACATCAGGAACACAAGTTAAACACTTGGAAACAGAAGGTAGGTTATTTTTTTATCATTATATATTTTTTTTAATAAAATCTTCAAAAGATATTTTTTTTAGATGAACCGTACACCACAAGTAGTCTAAAATAATAACTGATTTGTAATTTTTAACTAAAAAAAATCAATCTTTAGTTTTTATGGTTGACTTAGATATGTTCTCTTTATATATATATATATATATATATATATATATATATATATATATATATAGCCTTGAAGAATTTAAATATATTTTTATATAATTATAATTATCACTCATAACAAATAAATATTCTTATTATAATTATAGTATATTACAAAGAAAAAACAAACTTTAAATTTACACGTTATCATATATCTACTACATATTTTAAAATGGACAAAAATATACTTTTTAACATGATTTTGTGAATATAATAGATAATAAAAATATAAAAAATCGTAATAAAAAAAATGTACATCCAAATTGTTTGATTTAATTTTATTTTATATTAATAATTTTGAAAATTGATTTTCAAATTAAATTGAAAAAAATATTTGTAATTTCAATTTTAAAAACTATTTTAAACAAAAAAACATGACATAGATACTCATAAAAAATAACGACGAAAGTTACAAAATACTTTTAATAGCTCTAATATAATAATGGAAATAATAATTTAACGTAATTATTAAATAAAATAGAAAAAGTATAATACAAATTATTTTTTATTAATTTTGGTTTTTTAATTTTAAAAAAAGTTTCAAATCTATTTTAATTAAATAGTTATCAAATAAGTTTTATAAAAACTAAAAAAAAGTTGAAATTTGTTTTTAAAAGCCGTAAACAATCAACTCCTAACAATTTAGGATATATGTTATATTTTTTATTTATCATAAAATAGTATCAAACAAAACATATATATAATTTTTTTATCACATTATTTTATAACTTTTTTATATATTTAGTATGTTATTACTTTATATTAGGTTATGGTGGAATTTTGATAATACTTTATTGTTAAGAAATTTGTTTGTCTTAAAACAAAATGTTATGCAATGATGATCATAATTGCAATAGGACATAGTTATCAGTCAAATCTAAATTTTTTTGTAATTATTACTAATATATATATATATATATATATATATATATATATATATATATATATCATTCAAATATGATCATATTTATAATTTTAATATTAAAATATTGAGAAGTTAAGAACGAGAAAAAATCATATTCAAAAATATGAAAATTGAATAATTTAAAAGAAAAAATCATATTCTTTTATATAATTAATTAATTCATATTTTATTTATGATATAATTGATTCGTATTTTATTTAGGAGAATCTACTTTAAAAGAAATACCGAAAATAAGATATAAAAACAATAAAATGGGTATAGTAATAAGAATTTAAGTAGTATACATGAGATCTTCGATCTTATAATACGAGTATAAGAATATATTTGAATGTAGCTTGTCAATGCAAATCTGATAATTTTGGTGTCTGGATTCTTATAAGTCTTGACTTTTGTTGCACCCAATTTCCAGGAAGATTAAATGACAACTAAATTAGCACAGAAGTCAAAGTAAATAAAAACAAACCGAAGAACAATAATCGTATTGGGTATTTTTAAAACTATTGTTATCCAGAGTTATAAAGGATAATCATCAGTAAATTAATGATTTTTTTTATATATTATGGTAACATTAAACATAATTATTAAAAACCATATACAGAACAAGAAATTAGATCATAATAACATTGAGGTTCTTTACATTAACAGTGTACAGATTATTTGATCCTTTATAATTAAAAATCACATTAAAGATGTAATATGTATAGTATACAAAATATATCAATTAAATACACAGAAAATATTTTAAGTTACTGAAGAGATTAAATATTAGTTTTTCTTTTCAATACTTTGAATTATTCCAAACAGGTATTTTTTTTTAAAGAGATAAATATCATGAATATGATAAAAAAATTCATAGGGTTATTTTATGACAACATTGATGTGATGTTTCTTATTGAAATTTCATTTTTGAACGACCATACCAATTTTTAATATTTTAATTTGTCTCATCTATAAAAACGACAGGATAAAATTAATTATAAATTAAATATATGAAATATAACTAATCTTAAATTTTATTATATATTATTATTTTTTACATAAGACTTAACTAATTATACAAATATCAGATTACAAACTCCATGAAAATATGAATTCAAAATTCAAAATTATATGGATTTCAACCAAATATAATCATATAATAACATAAATTTGTAATAATAAGATAATAATATCTATAAATTTTTAAATTTAAATTTAAATTTTACATAAGAATATAACGAATTATAACACAGTGGTGAAAGTAATCAAACTTAATTATAATTATTTTTTTCTACAGTAGAAAAACGGATTGAATTCACTATGATAGTTAATATTTTTTATATCGTTAAAATTTGAAAAATATAAATTATATATATCATTTATTATAAAATAGAATATTAAAAATTTATTTATAAAATTTAAAATTTTGTTTTTAATTAGGTTATTAGAAAATTTTAATAATTTATAATTATATTTATTCTAATTAAATATTATATCATATATACAATAATGTTTTATAAAATAATAAAAGAAAAATAAATCTCAATCTTCTCTCAAATTGAATGTATATAAATCTTAAATATTATGTAATTAAATATTTTGAGACTATTTTATTTGAGAAAATTTGTATTTATTAAGTACATCAACTTTTTTAATAAATATTTTTAATTTATGATTTGATATGATGTAGTAACTAATTTCAATCTTGCTCCATATGTATTTATTGGTTGATAAATTGACATATTTATACTAGGTAACAATTTTATGATATTATTTTTTTGTTTTTGATAGTTTAATCCCTATAAAATATTTAAAGGGTCATAATCTTTTACTTTAAATATTTTTATAAATAATTTTCTAATTTTTTTTCTATAAATCATCCACATATATAAAATAAGTGTAATTATTTTACTTTTTTATTTTTTTAAAATAAAGTTTGATCTTGATTATTTTGATGATATTTGTAAATCTTCTAAATCATATTTTTCGATATTATTTTAATTTATATAAGAATTATTTTTTTGA